GGATTTTCAGTAGGACTACTTCAGCTTTACAAAAGACACAAACTACACTGATGTCTGTCTTTTTCTACATCTCTGGTCAGCAAGTGATTTAGGAAAAGAGATGTGATACAGATCTGGGGATGAAGCATGACTCATTTTCATGAAGAAGTGCCTCAGCTGGTGACCCTAGAAGGACTATGGCAGTAAATAATTTAGTGGGGGCAAAAGGAGGTGGGGTTTACTGAACAGTTGGCTCTTCTGTTGTAATTATCTGTATGCATGCTCTTTTGCTCTACGGCAAGTGGAAGCTAACTTGTGGTAGCTTAGCTCTCAGGAAAGAGAAGAAAGTTACTTGGTTTAGCTTTCACTTATCTTGAGGTAAGGATGTACATGAAGGCAGTTCCTTGGAACAGCTGATGCACGGTAAATTATAAGCATATGATCTCCACTGATATCCCTACTTTCCCATGGTACCACTTCCACGTGATTTAATTCAAGTTTCATTGCTCTGAAATATCTAATAAAATCTGTGTCTGATATACGATTTGTGGGTCTGTATAACCCAATGGGTCTCAACCTCCAGCCTATGTACTGAATATGGCCTGGGGAAGTTGTATCACCTGGCCCACGGGGCTCCCCACAGGTCTGGAAATTTGGCAGCTGAGGGAGAGGTGGCAATATTAATTGCTGCAGTTCTTATGTTGCCAAATTTCTAGACCAGTGGGGAGCACTGTGGGCCAGATGACATGGCTCTGTGTGACAGACTGTTCTGGCCTGTGGGATCGTTCCACAGCTGGGTCCATATGTGGGGCTGGGCTGGCATGGTGGACTGCACCTGTGGACCAACCCTGCATGTCAACCCCCTGCTGGACTTGGCACACAAACCAGCCCCACATCACTCATTCTAACCAAATATGTTAGGAATACATTATCCTAGACCAGGAAGAGTCAAGTCGGAATAGAGACCAAGTTCTATTTAACAGTAACATCTTTGTTACCATGACTTGTATTTGGCACCACCCCCTGGTTTCCCATGAGTCACCCAGAACAGAAGAAAAAGTATTGCGAGTTTAGTACGTTAAAATCAATCTAAGCAGACACAACTCCTATCACTGCATTGAAGGAAGATTTTCAATACAGTTGTTTCTCTTATGTATCAGACACTATTATTCATCATATCTAACTCTATTCATTCTTTGCTCTCACCTTCTCTACTGCTGCATAACGACTAGCCAGCTGCTTCCGTAAATCTGCAATGTGATGGTCACATTTCTTCATGTCTTTCTTGAAGTTTTCTCTGAAGTTGAGCAGTGGTTTCTCTACCTCACTCTGGAGCTGGAAATGAGAGCAGAAAAATGGTATTGGGAAGTGCTAATAGTAAGTAGACAGGAACAACCACACAACTGGAGGTAGCTAGCTCTTTCTCTTTAAGTGGCAGACAGGAATGCGATGTCTGTGCCTCAGCAGAGATGCAATTTCAGCAGCACAGGGTCTACATGACCTAGAGATACTTCCCTCCCTCAAGACACCTTTGAGCAATACTGCCTCACCCCCAGCTCAGGAGTAACAGAGTTCTGTTACAGGATCCCTGGAGGAATTCTTTAATGAAATCATAAGGCCGTGTATCATCTCTCCAGGTGCGGAACTGAGTCACAGAATATGTGACTTGCCTCAGGTGATAAGGGAATTCTGTGGCAGAATCAAGAATTAAACCTAAGTTTCATGAATTGCTAGCAAGTGCCTAAAATACAAGGAACATTCCCATCCCAAGGAGCAGCTCCTAAGTCAAAGACTAGCCCTGCATTCTTTAGTAAGCAAGAGATGACCAGAGTGCACTATCTTTTAAGTCAGTGTAGCCTGCACTGTTGTGCATCTAGACTACAGTGTGGGTTGGGAAACCACAGGAAAGATATTATGCCATTTCCTACTCCAATGGAAAATTGTGTATGTACATGGAGGAAGCAGACCCTGTGCTCTCTTGGTCAGTTAGCCCCACCCCCAAACAATGAAGACCTTGGAAACTGTTAACTTTACTGCCCCATGTCTCAGTTTCCATCTCTACTGCTCAGCTTTGTTACTAAGATAATTTTGTGTTTGGTTCACTGTGTTGTAAAGAAAGCCACAGAGAAGCTCATAAGAAAATAATTTCTTGTTCTTTCCAGGGCTAAAATAGGTACAGTAAGTTCCTTCAGACTGAAGATAAATAGAAAAAAAATGCACAGCTGCTATGTTATCAGGAACTTGGTCCTTCTTGTGTGTGTATATGTTATGATTAACCATATAGCACAAGGAAAGGGATGAAGCTTGATTGGTAAAACTTGATTCTAACATTTCCTCGCTTGTGCGTGCTTAACTTTACAACCCAAGTAACATACTATTAATGGCAGTTTTTGTACCTACTATATTTTAAAATTATTAGTATTTATTTATATGAGTAATGAGGGAGTGGCAGCCAGATGGGAGCCCAGGAACTTCAAATTAACTCCTTGCAGGCTGCACATGATAAGCAAGTTAAATAGCCCTGGGTACAGCAGTACCTTATGCATGGTAAGCATAACTTTCTTTAGTTACAGGAATAAACTGTTCAAATGCTCCACCTTATGGGATGCAGCAATCTTGATTCAACAAAAGCTTAAGTCTTAAATAAGGACTGCTCCATATAATCCAAGCTAGTTTGTTTATGAACTTTTGAATTTCCATCTTTTGAATGCTAAGAACACTTAAGAGATGCTTCAAATGCCACTGTGCTTTGAAGTACTTCAGAAATGGGATGCTTCAGCTGCTGACAGGTTTACAGTCCCCTGCTATGCCTAGGGCTGGAGTACTTCAAAACTACTTCAGTGGCATGTAGAGGTGGGCTTACCAGCCAGGGGGCACAACAGGGGTTGCTTCCTCTACTTCCCTGCCCCTCAAGGGTTGTGGGGAGGGACCGAGCAGGACAGACAGCCAATGAGCATTTTCCTATGGGCTCAGTGAGTGTTCTCAGGTTTCTTGTTTCCTGATTCTAGGTGGAGAGCTGCGTAAAGAATCTCTCCTGGGACTAGGGAAAACAAATCCTTGCATGGCTCTCAGGCTCCAAATATTGTTGAGGATGACTGTGCATCCCTGCCAGAACTGAGAGACTGGAAGCCCTGTGTCTTTCTGCAGGAACCAGGAGACTAGATGTGGAAAGGTGTGTAGGCAT